GCAGGCTTTCAGATGTGCTATGAGGGGAGTGTGGTCTATACAGGACCTACTGATTCATGATGGTGATGGTGATGATGGTGATAATGGTAGTGATGAAAGAATGGTTGATTTTATGTGACCCAGAATTAACTAGCCAGTATGTTTGTGTGTGGGGAGCCTCAGTATCGCTGGCCTAAAAATGTTTGCATGGAGACAGATTTGTTATTCTCCAAAAGGTTGACCTCAGTCAGAAATGGGTACAAGGTTATTTCCTGGCAAGTAAAGGCGATTGTAGTGATGTTGATCTAATAACCCTTTGAGTGCCAGCTTGTCTAAAAAAATATGAATCTAGCATCATATTGAATGCATCATCATTAGCATAAAAATGATCCTTCACTTTGTTAACTTTACTGTGATACATATTTTAGAGATGCCACGTTGGACGTACATCACATTGCACTTGTTCCTCTAATAAGGCCTTGTTATCCATTTGAGGTCCAAATGTTTACCCTCAAAGAAAAATCCTCCTGGCATGGTTGCTAGGTAGTATTTCAGAGGGTTTGAAAACTAAACTCTGTAAATGGCTGGCTGAAGCCCCTTGGGGGACTGTGTCCTGTTTAAACTAATGATGCCCGTGTGGGTTCAGGACCCCTATTTTTTGGATGGGGGGGGGAGGGGGGGGCGGAAGGAAGTATAGACCCACTGCACCCCAACCAGCTTGTTGTAAAAGTCAACTAATTAGGCGTGATTCTTTCGAAGTCGGAGTGCGTCTAAGAGGTGAAAAACCAACAAATAAGCCAGATTTGTAAAACATATGTGCACGCAGAACTCACACTTCTGTTTAAAGTGTGTTTCTGACCCTCCGCCTTTATCCCTGTATGAGTTCCAAGGCTCTATTTTTGTTTCAGAAAAATATATCACACCCTGTATATCACACACACTTAACAAACATATGGTAAAAGGTGACTCATTAAGGACTTGCTGAAATCATATGTGTTTGGCTGATATTACAGCCTAGCTGTAAACCACAACACAATGTGCCAACCGCGCTTGTAAGGGAGCTGGGAAACAAATGCCATGACTAGTCAGTAAACAATTCCGCTTTACACTATGAGGCGCAGTGACATAAAATGGTAGCTCCATATGTTTAAACCAGTCAGCACTAAGTGTGTGATGGGGTTCGTGTCATTCCTGCAGCCTTTTTTTCTTAGAACTGCCCATCTGGGTTCCTGGGATTCAGTCTGGGGAAACAAAGAATAGACATGTCTGCGGATTGGAAGGTTGTTGATTCGCATCCTGATAGAGCCGGACTTTAAAAAAAAATAATGATTTTGGTTCCTAGGTCGACCCAGCCTTGAGTTGGTACCGGGTAAAGTCCTGAGAAGTAAAGGCGGCTGGCATGATTCTCACCACATCAGGCACATAGTGCTGATTGTCTATCAAATATAGGTCTAGCCCTGTAGTCCCAATAGACCTGAGGGGTAGAATAGGGTATTATTGTAAGCTCAGTAAATCTAGAGTCCAAATTATTTTTAAACAAAACATGCCTTCTTCCAGATGGGTTTAAAAGACTGCAAGTGCACTGCACTAATGCAGCTTTCCTATGACTGATTACAAATGGGTGGGGCACAGTTCGTTGTTTGTGAACACGGACATGACGCACTTAGCATGTCATCGAAATTGTGACGACAGTCATTAGCGTTGCACTTAACAGCTACAACTGGTTCTGGTCACTTTAAGTTCACTGTTTTAAACTAACATTTGTTAATTGTCAATTTTAAGGTGAGTCATACATGTTTATAATCAGGTCTAGACTTTAGCCCATGGATGCTTTATGGTAAATAAGTTACATTTAACTAACCATTATCTGTTCATGGGTAGGTTTTCAGTGTTGTGTTTTCTTTTTTTAATTTTATTTTAAACATGGATACTTCTAACTAGATAACATAAGCCGTCAAGATGTATTACAGAGATAACCTAAATAACCTGACAAGTTAAACCTATTTGTTATACAATAAATAACATTTTATGAAATATATCTCTTTCATGGCAAAGAATTATTACGTTATAGAAACTAGTTTTTAACTTTTAGCTTTGAATCCTGGACAATTAACTTTGTCAGAATAATATAGCATATTGTGGCTTAATTAAAGAGAAAAATCTATAAATGATGTGGATTTTGATCTGCAGTTAAATGTGATGCTTGACTATTCTTTCACCTGTCATCATTCCACCATTTTTTTTTTTTTTTCAATCTGTGAACTTCATTTACTCATGTAGTTGTAGTTAAGGGTTACATTTTCACAAATACTTAAAATACTTGATCAAAAATAGCATAAATAGTGAATCATTGAATCTGAAACATATATCCTATCTTTATCTACCTAAGTATATGTGTACATGTCCTGTTCCTGTTCTTTTCAGAGTGCAATCAGAAAGTTTGACGTCAGACTCAATAAGACATATTTCCAATATCATTCTGACAGGAACAGAATTGAGATTTCCCATTAACTTTCATAGAATGAATGTGTGTAGTGTAGTAATCCTACTGCTACGCCAAGTTTGAGCTTGGCATTCCGGCTGCTCTTGTGTGTGGGGTGTTGAGGGGGTTGTTTTTGTTGTATACTTTCTGTGGAGCACATTGTAATTTATGTAAGGGAAACAGTGGCCAGTCATAGGTACAGTCACACATGAGAGAAAGCATTAAATGGTGTGGATTTTGATCTGCCATGTAATGTATTGCTTAAGCTGTGTTGAGGATTTGTTTTTGTTGTATACTTTATACTTTCTATGGAGCCCATTGTGATTTGTGGAAGTGGAATCATGAGCAGTCAATGGATTAGTGGGTATTTATCTGGAGGCTTCAGCTATGTGGTTTTATAGGAGAATAATAACACTATGGACAGTTAAAGAATGTAATAAAATACATAGCTCACAGTGTCATGCCATGCACTTAACTCTGTATCAGGGCAATGAAACTGTATACTGTCAGTCTACATACTGAGTAAAATTCAACAGCTAACTTTTATCAGAAGCAATAGCTTAACACAGTTAAAAATGGTAAACCTGCCTATCCCCTATATTGACCAGAAGTCTAGTGTCAGACTGTTTGTGTTGGCACTTTAGCACTTCTTTTTTTTTTGTCATGAAAGCCACCGCCAAGGAACGTAGAAATACAAAAACATTCCCGATTCAGTACTTACGAACTGTCACGCCTGCTGTGTGTCCCCCTGCAGTACTGCTTACTTGTACAAAGGCTCCTGTGGCGCCTCAAAGAGACTCACGACAACACAACCTCCCACAAATATTGTATACAGCGAGCGAACCTCAAACAAAGCCATATCATAACACCCTGACAAACATAGGACAGACACTGTGACTGGCCACGGCATCAATGGGACAGGAAGTAACTCTGGCTGTGCGGACACTAATGATAAGTTCCCATTTATTTATTTCTCTTGTAGACATATATTTATATGCATGTCTTGTACACATGTATCAGGTTCATGCAGCAATAGACCCTTCATGGGAACATCCTCACAGACTTGTTAGATGTTACTTAACATAAGATTCACATGTTCCTCAGAATTGGCTTGTAACATGGCAAAGTCTCAGACACATGCCGTAACCTTCAGTTGAAAGATCGTTGCATATTCTTTGCTGGATAATGCAGAACCCACCCCAGCATTGTTTTGCTGTTGTAGTTTTTCTAGGCAAATTTTGTATTCAGTAGTTTGCCATTGCTTTATGAATCCTCAGCTGTCAAAACCAACGCAAGACAGTCTGCTGCCAAATCACCTGCAGCTGGGGTCGAACACAGTACCCTGGCATTACGAAAAGCATTCGCAATGCCTAAGCCACATATATTTTTCAGACCATGTCTGAAGTCAGTCATTTTGTGCAAGTCATTGTGAGGGTGTTGTAAAACCAACCTTATCATTTCTTGGCCGTTTGTGAGTTTTCTAGTTAACGTTTACTTTGAGTACTTTGTTATTGTTTTCTGAATGGTTGGCTTTCCACAACTTTGTCAAAATTAACATAAAGTGATCTGCTGTCAAATCGCCATTAGTTGAATTTTATCAAACATTTAGGAAATACATTGCACTCCAATATTAGTTCACAACAGTTTTCATCTTTTTTCAAAATTTTCTTCGCTGACATTTTTGTTTGATATCGGCATGAAAAGTCAATATTCATCCTTTCTCCAATGTGGCGGGCGAGGCTTCGGACAAGAAAGAAGAAGATGATGGGTCAGTTCCAAGCACTGAAAATAAGGAATAGCTGTCCCATTGGGCAAAAAGGCAGGTTTTCATCCAGAAATGGCACCCAAGTATCGGTATAGTTGATCAGCATATCAGTTCATTTAATAACCAGTGTTTGGACACTTTGATACCATTTTTTATTATGGAACGAAACAAACATTGGATAACTTCTTTGAAAAAAAAAAGTACTGGTGAATCGTCTGGAAATGCTAATGAATCATCAGGAATTAATCAACAGAAGTGACATTACCTGATGACATAATGGAAGAGGTGGCTCCCCTCGCAGATAATAGCTATTTTTTTTTTTATCCAAAAGATAAAGTTCTTATTAAAATTAAAATTGTATTTACATAGGCCTACAGTATATTTACTCCACCAGCACGATTAAATCTCTGTCACGGTGATAAAGCAATAATAAGCACAGTGGTTAATGTGTAATTCAAAAGTATCTGCAGTGATTTCTGAGATTGATTTGTGAGTGAAATTTTGTTCTTGTTAAAGAGTACATAGGTGAAATTTAGGGCTTGGAACGGAGTGAACCATTTTTAGTTAATCCCTGTGCAAAAAGTTGTTTGATGGTCCTCTATTTTTAATATAGGTGTTCTTCCTTCCCTCGGGAATGGATAAGTGATGAATATATTAGTTCTGATGTACAAAGTACAGCTTAAGCCACAGATTCTGGCTATTGAAGAGATAAGTAAATAAATCACACAAAATATTTGACTTACGGACTGACTAATGTTTATCTGCCCATTCAGAATGAGAGGCAAGAAGCGACCCCCAGAAGAGAGGGTGTCAGTGGTGGCAGGTCCTTTGCCGCCATGTCGTGTTTGTGGCGAGCAGGCAGCAGGATTCCACTATGGAGCCAATACGTGTGAGGCTTGTAAGGTAATCTGTCTATCCATACCCTTCTTCATGTCATTGTTGACACATAGGGCAAGTGCATTTGCTGCTTTTTTTGGACCCAAGATATCCCATGCCATGTAGAATGATGAAATGCTTTAGAAGAGCTGCAGGAGTTTAAAGAAAAGACAGAATACGAAATCATGAAATCAGACGAATGCTAGGAATGAAGCCAGACTTACAGGTCATCAAAGAACAACAAATGAAGTGGTTTGGACACATAACAAGAATGCCCTGGTACTATCCGCCACAGCGAGCCACACTAAAACGTTACAACGGGTATAGTGCGAGTGGAAGACCTCGGAAAAGATGGAGTAATGGCATTAAGAAGAGCCTTACAGAAATGAACACCAGTCTTAATAGTGCTCTTGACAGAGCTCATCAACAAACATTACAGCTCCCCCCCCCCCCCCCCCCCCCCCCCTCCCCGACACCCTGATGAGTTAAAAGGTGGAAGAGAAGAAAGAAGCAGAAATAAAAAAAAAAGGAGACAATTGAAATACTTCGGCCACATCAAAAGATATAACACACTTTTAAAAACCATACTGGAGGGAAAGGTTGAAGGCAAGAGACCAAGAGGTGGGCAACGGTACGGGAAAGGGGGGGGGGGGGGGTAAATAACATCAAGAGATCTACGGGCAGCAACCAGGACAAGAGACAGAGCATGTTGGAGGTCTGTTGCAACCAACCTTCACTGTGAGCAGCACCTGACTGATTGAACGATCCCATGCCAGTTAACATTTCTTCATTTCTTTTTTTTTTTCAAGTTCCTCAAAAGCTTCTTTTTTCTTTCTGTCTGCCACCCACAGGAGAGCTGGCCTTGCTATTTGTCTGTCATGAGGCAGTGAGGTATTTTGCAAACATGTCTAAGCCATTTCCGTCTTCTTTCTCTGATAACCTTTGCCAGTAGAGAACATTTTGATTTTGTGTAAGGTATGGCTGAGTAGATCAGTCACAGTTAGGATGGTTTGGACATGTATACCCAAAACCTGAATGGACACACGTTCACACTGAAGGATCATTGAAGGGAGCAAGAAGAAAAACGGAGGAGCTGGATCGGTCATCATGCTGCAAGATGGGACCACAGTGGAAACATCATACGCCTTGGATTGATAATGAACCACAACAACAATAGAAACTGTTCAGAAGAAACTGATGACAGCAAAGCAGAGGTTATACAGCATTAAAAGTCAGTGGCCCTGCATCAGCTAACAAGTTAATCATGTTGCGAACATGCAGCTTTTTATTGCAGCATATGGGCATGAGTCATGAAGCACTTTGAAATCACTAAAGAAAGAAGGAGTCTTTTGAATTTAAGTGTTAAGAATAATTCTTATAATACTTTAAATCCATCTGCCATCCCATGTAGTCAGTGATTGTTGTTGGCGTTGTGTGTTTCAGATGTGTTCAGCATGTAACTGACACCCTGTTTTTTTTTTTTGTTGCTCATGGGCAGGGCTTCTTCAGGCGGAGCCTGCTGCGAAATGGTGACTACGAATGCGTTAGATCTGGTAACTGCACCGTGGGCCCAAACCGGAGGAAAAGTTGTCCCAAATGCAGATACCTCAAGTGCTTATCTGTGGGCATGTCAAAGGAAGGTTAGTCTGCAGTTATTGTTCATATCCAGCGGCAAACAAAATATAATCTGTAACCAGTGGGGATTGAACCTAGAACTTTGTCTTTGTTGACCAAACATACCAACCCTGATGTACTGTTACCTCCACAAGTGGCAGTCACTGTGGCAATGCTTGCTTGTTTGCCAGGCTGGTAGGCATGTGTTCAAACTCCCATTGAATTGTTGGTACCCTTCTGTTTGTCCACACAGTAGTGTTATATTGTCTTTTAGAGAGGCATGGAAATCACAGCTCATTGAAGCCAGGGGTCTTATTCTTCTTCTTTGTGTTCACTGGCTGGAAAGTTCTGGTTGTTTGTCCACTTCTGATCATGTTTCAAAACGTAGGTGTTGCATGCACATATTTTTTACATATCTGGCTTATTTATATGCAGACTATTGGTTCCTTGCCCCTCATGCATGTGCAGTCTGAATTCAAAGGAAGTCATAATTGGTTAACTATTACGACATGCTTGTTAGGGAGGCAGTGGGTCTGTTCTTGTTTTTCCCATAGTGTGGCACTGAAACCCACAGGGAAAAGGCCAGGAATAAAGTTCCCTTCTCCATAGCACACAGCCAGCATTGTAAAGACCGTGTGCTGCCTATGCAGAATTCCTCTCTAGGCCTGCCTTGTTTATTCCAAAGGAAAGGTGACATTGAGGCAGATGTTTAACATTGCCTTAGATCCTAACTTGACATATCCTAAAAATGAAATGTTCAGGAAGTAAAGGTGCAAATAGGATATGGGTCACATGACCTTTGAGTGCTGCCTTTTCTAAACAATATATATCTAACATCATATGTCCATTATATGACGGCATGTGTAAACAGATCCTTTAGATGTGAAAAGTCACCCCAGACCACAGAACAGTGCTCCAGGACCGCACTAAGTATGACACATTAAGGCCAACCTTTTGGCCAAAAAGAAAAAAAGTAAAACGTAAACTCTACGGACCAGTGAATGAACTAAAAACGACAGTGAAATTGATAAAAATCAAAAAATAAATAGCTGATTGAGACAACTTATTCCAGGCGAACAAACGAAGAAGAAAAAAAACGGTCCTTTAGCAATTAGTATATCAAATTGAGTCTCTGGAGTTCAAGGGCACCAAGTCGGGGGGGGGGGGGGGGGGGGGAAAGATTCACTACTCCCATAACAAGCATGTCATAAAAATCAACTAACTTGGGATGCATCTGCCTGACAGGGGAGGAACCAACAGTCTGTATGGAAATAAGCCAGATCTGTTATGGAACTAGACTAAAAGTTTAGAAGTGAATCAACAAGCAGAACATTTGCCAGAGTTTCCTCCCGGGAAACAAGAAAAGTTTGAAGAAGAAGAGGAGGTGCTGGGAGGTAAATGTACAGAAGAATATGTTTTCTTTCATGGAGATAAAAGCACTGAAGTACAGAGGTCCTGAAAAGATTAGGAATCAAAAACCATACTTGAGGGGAAAGTTGAAGGTAAGCATGTAAGAGGCAGACAGTGATACAGATGGAACATAGCATCGAGAGATATACGAATAGCAGTCTGAAAAAGTGTATTTCCAGGGTTAAAGTGAGCATTTTGGAGATGCGTTGCAGCCTACCTTAATCGTGAAGGTGGCACTTGTTTAATTGATTGATTGATTAGTTACTTACTCTCACGTGTGCTACATTTTTCCTGTATACATCACACAAACAGACTCAATATTTTGAAATTATTGTATATTTCAGCTATCAAGACGGGTCGTTATACTTACACAAAGAGGACGCAAGACACTATGGAAATCAAAATGCTAAAGCAGAACAAACACCAGCTAAAAGCAGATCTCAGAATGGACAATGACTATGCTACAAAAGGATCTAATATATATTCCTTTGAGCAGAGAAGTTTGCTGGAGAACATCAGTGACGGTGACAGCCTCTGTGGTAACTCTTACTGCAGTTTGTCACCAGCAGTTGAGACATCAGCTGGTTCAGAACCTATCTCCCCAGCTTCTGCAGCTTCATCCTCTTCATCTTTAACAGAGCTGACATCAACATTGTCAGTCAATATTTTATCTCTATCAAAAAGCAGTTCACAAATGAGCATGCTGGAGTTACCAGCTGAAGAACTGAAGACTGCAAAAGACTTGTCTGACGGAAAAGAGCCATGTGTAAGACCAACATCAGTGACAGGGGATTTGAGTCTTCAGTGTATTGAACTGTTAGCAGCAGAAAACAGTGGTGAGTCTCCAGAATCACAGAGAAATCAAGTGTTTCTGAAATCACAGAGAAATCTGGTGTCTCCAGAACCACAGAGAAATCAGGTGTCTCCAGAATCACATAAAAATCGGGTGTCTCCAGAATCACAGAGACATCAAGCAACTCCAGAATCACAGAGACATCACCATCTCCAGAATCACAGAGACATCACGCATCTCCAGAATCACAGAGACATCAACCATCTCCAGAATCACAGAGACATCAACCATCTCCAGAATCACAGAGACATCAACCATCTCCAGAATCACAGAGACATCACGCATCTCCAGAATCACAGAGAAATAATGTATCGTCACAATCACATAGAAATCTTGTGTCTCCAGAATCACAAAGAAATCAGGTGTCTCCAGAATCACAGGGAATTCATGTGTTTCCAGAATCACAAGCCAGTGATATCTCTCCAAAATCACAAGCAGTGGATCATCTTCACAGTCCAGGTAATGCATGGACACCAGTAGAGACAACAGACATGCCTGTGGGTCCAAACTGGCAAGTCTACAGCGAGGCCGAGCTAGATGACTTTATTTCGGTGATTGTGTCGGGTCACAGAACACTTGTTGACGACGTAAATAGTTTGCCAGATGAAAATATTCAGAAGATGTTCAGAGAGTGCCAAGTGAGTAGTTTTGATATATGAATATTTTATCCATTTAATTATCCATTTTTGCTGCCGTGGTGTAGCGGCTAGAAACTCACCTGCGGATAGGAAGGTCGTGGGTTCAGGTCCTGGTGGAGTGGAACTTTTTCAAAAATGATCTTGGCTCTCAGGTTGACTCAGCCTTGAGTGGGTACCAGGTTCAGTCCTGGGAAGTAGAGGTGGCCGGCGTGATGCTGAGTGCATCACCCACCAAGCGCTGATTGGTCTATAGAAGACAGGTCTAGCCCTATATGCCCATTATGTCTGAAGGCATGTAAAAGGGTACTTTACTTGTACTTTTGACTTAACTGTCCTTGTCTGTCTGTAACTAACAGCTTAATTTATGTACAATTGTTCATTTCTTACAGTCTATGTCAGTGTTTCCCAAAATTTTCTTAGTCGCAGGGCCTTTTTTCATTCAAGTTTTTCCACGGCGCCCCTAATCTAAGTAAATGTGTGACAAAGTCATTGGCTCCCCAGAGTGCCTCGGCGCACAGTTTGGGAATCACTGGTCTATGCAGTATTTTCAACTGTCCCTGTAGTATGCACATGAAAAGAGAGGTGTGTTGTGTCAGACCTATTCTGTTGTTGGTACCTTTCTGTCTTTACAGACAATAATGCTCCATTCTACAATAGAGAGGCATGGGAATTAGTACTGATTTGACATTAGTTTTAAAAATTTTTAGTTAAGTATTTCTTTAAATTTCTTTTGACCTTCACAAATTCCCTAGTGCTATGAAAGCTCCTCTTGCCTTTTTGTATTCTTTTTTTAATATCTCTATCAGTTCCTCTATCTTTATCTACATTACTGCCCCAAATAGATGTACGACTGCACGACTTGGAGTAGGGTGCCATTAAGAGAAACAATATTGATATTTTCCTGATTTATTCTCATTATCTTTGTCTTTCTTTTATGGATTTTCAGACCAAGCTGCTGTGATCTCGCATCAAGTACATTTAATTTATCTTGCATCTGATTCCGGGAATGGGACAGAAGAGAAATATCATCAGCGAAGTCCAGATCATAAAGCTGTTTTGTAGGGGTCCACTGAACACCATTCTTGGTGTTAGCAGTTACTGTCTTCATAATCCAGTCTATAGCCGGTAAAAATAAGAGAGGCGACAAAAGACATCCCTGTCGCACACCTGTTTTTATTTCAAATGCATCTGTTAGCTTCCCTCATGAAGAAATCAACATTTCACAAGAATAGTTTACAATGACTTTATTCTGACAGAGCCTTATTTAGGGCTCAGTTAACTTGAACACCACCAGATTTAAGAGTGAAGACCTAGACTTTCAAATGATCTACAACCAGCTGACAAACCCAGACTTTTAGATGATTCACAAGCAAGGGATAAACTCAGATTTTAAAATGATCTACAAGCAAAGGATAACCCCAGACTTTCAGATGATTCACGAGCAAGGGACAAACCCAGACTTTTAGATGGTCTACAACCAACTGACAAACCCAACTTTCAGATCATCTACAAGAAAGGGATAAACCTCAGATCATTTTCAAAAGATAAACCCAGACTTTCAGAAGATTCACAAGCAAGGGACAAACCTCAACTTTCAGATGGTCTACAACCAACTGACAAACCCAGACTTTCAGATCATCTACAAGAAAGGGATAAACCTAGATTTTCAAAGGATCTACAGCCAACTGACAAACCCAGACTTTCAGGTGATCTGCAAGCAAGAGATAAGCCCAGGCTTTCATGTGATATACAAACAAGGGATAAACCCAGACTTTCAGAAGATCTACAAACAAGGGATAAACCCAGACTTTCAGATTATCTACAAGCAAGGGATAAACCCAGACTTTCAGGATATCTACAAGCAATGGATAAACCCAGACTTTCAGATCATCTACAAGCAAGGGATAAACCCAGACTTTCAGATCATCTACAAGCAAGGGATAAACCCAGACTTTCAGATCATCTACAAGCAATGGATAAACCCAGACTTTCAGAAGATCTACAAGCAATGGATAAACCCAGACTTTCAGGTAATCAACAACAAGCAAGGGATAAACCCAGACTTTCAGGTTATCTACAAGCAATGGATAAACCCAGACTTTCAGGTTATCTACAAGCAATGGATAAACCCAGACTTTCAGGTTATCTACAAGCAATGGATAAACCCAGACTTTCAGATTATCTACAAGCAATGGATAAACCCAGACTTTCAGATTATCTACAAGCAATGGATAAACCCAGACTTTCAGGTTATCAACAACAAGCAAGGGATAAACCCAGACTTTCAGGTTATCAACAACAAGCAAGGGATAAACCCAGACTTTCAGGTTATCTACAAGCAATGGATAAACCCAGACTTTCAGATTATCAACAACAAGCAAGGGATAAACCCAGACTTTCAGGTTATCAACAACAAGCAAGGGATAAACCCAGACTTTCAGGTTATCAACAACAAGCAAGGGATAAACCCAGACTTTCAGGTTATCAACAACAAGCAAGGGATAAACCCAGACTTTCAGGTTATCAACAACAAACAAGGGATAAACCCAGACTTTCAGGTTATCAACAACAAACAAGGGATAAACCCAGACTTTCAGGTTATCTACAAGCAAGGGATAAACCCAGACTTTCAGATCATCTACAAACAAGGGATAAACCCAGACTTTCAGGTTATCAACAACAAACAAGGGATAAACCCAGACTTTCAGGTTATCTACAAGCAAGGGATAAACCCAGGCTTTCAGGTTATCTACAAGCAAGGGATAAACCCAGACTTTCAGGTTATCTACAAGCAAGGGATAAACCCAGACTTTCAGGTGATCAACAACAAGCAAGGGATAAACCCAGACTTTCAGGTTATCTACAAGCAAGGGATAAACCCAGACTTTCAGATCATCTACAAACAAGGGATAAACCCAGACTTTCAGATCATCTACAAGCAAGGGATAAACCCAGACTTTCAGAAGATTCACAGGCAATTAACTAACATTACTAGTCCTGTTTAGTTTAAGCTGTATTGATATATTATCATCACCTAACTTGCATTAATTTCAGGAAAGATGCAACCTGCAGACTGAAATCTTTGGTCACTTGGGCACCATTCAGAGGGATGAGCATGACCAGATTTATACTTCCACTGGTTTGGATGTGGATGGGCGCCTGGATAACCTCAGTTATGCAGCACAGAAGATGGATGTCTATGTCCGGCAGATGATTTCTTTCATGAAGTTGATACCAGGATTTAGATGTTTAAAACTGTCTGATCAGACGGCCTTAGTGAAAGGTGAGCTGCCTTGCTTAGTTAGTTATTTGGTTGACAGATCATTCTCATTGCACATTCTCATTGCACATTCTCATTGCACATCCTCATTGCACATTCTCATTGCACATTCTCATTGCACATCCTCATGGTCTGGAGCTGGTTTTGTGTGAGCTGGTAATATACCTTATGTATCAATTGTGTATATAGCCAACTTGTCATGCCTGACCACTTCCATCAATGACAAACTGCATTTCTGGTGATCGATCGTTGGCTTTGGCACCTCTAGCAACTGCCATATGTATTTTCTGCATAGGCATATTTCTGGATTGTGCCAGGACTAATTGTTTGTTGATCAGTTTTTTAAGTGTTGACCCGATTGCAGCGAAGTTGATACCTGAACTAAGACTAAGGCTACTGCACATCGAACAAGTCAGTCTATAAGTGCTTAGATCCCTTCCTCAGTCAATCTTACATCATGTATCGGCCGACAACAGCAGTTCTTTGTTGGCTTTTTCTTCTTCTTCTTTGGCTTGCTGCACAGGGCTTTTGTTTGACCTCATTTGTTGCTTCTTACAGTCTGGTCATATTTGCAGATTCACTGGTCCCATGATTTTCGCATACGTCTTCTCGCAGAGCATTTAGTATTTTGTCCTGGTCTGTTGCTTGTCCGCCCTCCACATTAGCCTTCCCTGCAACTCTGTCTGCTTGAACTTTTGTTTAGTTTCTGAATGCTCAGATCTGTGTTTAACATTCTTTGTATGTGTAAATATATGGGAGTGACTGCAGTCAAGCTAATACAAGGAATTCCAGGGAAATTTGACTAAAAAGCTTAACCAGTTGGGGAAGCAGAAAAATGTGCCCAAAACAACATAAATAACTTAACGTTTTGGCCAGGCAGCCTTTGTCAAACATGAAGTGAACTACAAAAAATGCGATGTGGAATAAATGAAATAAAATAAATTAAACGATGGCTAAAAAAATATAGTCGCAAAAAAAAAAAAAAAATAATATTGTTAATATATAATATAATAGTGGGAATAAAAGAAATACAAATGTTAATGATACATAAATGATAATGATAAGAGATAGAATCAAAGTAATAATATGAAAGAGAAGAAAAGAAAATAATTAACATTTAAAATGTGAAAAGAGTAAATCTGTTTAGATGAAGGTATGTTGGATATTGATACCACCTGGACTACTAAGAATGCCTAGGCTGTGGATGAAGCGATTTTCCAAAGCGGAGCGCATAGTATGATCGCCAGAGCAAGATTTTAATGCTGTGACAGATATATCATCTTTACCGCTGTGGTCAGAGCTGTTAAAAGGTAGAGGGATTGGTTTAAGTGTCTTCTTGTCAATATCGGAGAGGTGTTCCCGGAAACGATCAGCTAGCTTCCTGCCAGTTTCCCCAATGTATGCCTTGCTGCATCATTTGCACCTTATTGCATAAATGACGTTGCAGAATTTGCAAGTTAAAGTTTCCCTAATTTGGAAAGAACCATTAGGGAAACTGACCAAAGAAGTCTGGACAATGAAAGTACATGTCTTACACGTGCTGCAGGAGCATTCATTAGTCCCAAAAGGAAGTGCTGTGCGGATCGGTGGCAGTCGACTTCTTACATGTATGTCTTTAAGGTTGCGGTCTCGTCAAAAACCAAGATTAGTTTATAGACGAGACCGCAACCTCGTTGTTATTTTTGTTTAGCTCACTTCATGTTTGACAAAGGCTGCCTGGCCGAAATGTTATGTTATTTATGTTGTTTAGTGCACGTTTTTTCTGCTTCCCCATTTGGTTATCCATTTTAGTCAAATTTCTCTGGAATTCCTTTTAGTATGTGTAAGCACTATGCATATGTTTGCATGTGTAGAAACATCTTTTTGTGTTTGTATGAGTGTGTACATATGTGTATGTGTAAGCACTATGCATATGTTTGCATGTGTAGAAACATCTTTTTGTGTTTGTATGAGTGTGTACATATGTGTATGTGTAAGCACTATGCATATGTTTGCATGTGTAGAAACATCTTTTTGTGTTTGTATGAGTGTGTACATATGTATATATGTATGCATGAATGTTTGTGATTGTGTGTGTGTGTATGTGAGTGTGTGTACACACACATTAGAGAATCTTAGTTTCAGCTTTATAGCAATCGGGTCACCCCATAGTTGCACCACTCCTATGCCAACGAAGAACATATAGACTGACTGTCAGTGGGCAAATTGACACAGACTACTATCTCAGCATATCCATTTACAAAGGGAGTCCCACTGGTGCAGCTGCTGGATGATCACCTGCGGATAAGAAGGTCATGAATTTGGGTCATGACTGAGCCAGACTTTTTTAGAGAGAAAAAAAATGACCTTGGCTCCCAGATCAACTCAGCCTAGAGTAGGTACTGGGAATAGTCTGGGAAGTTGACCACATCACCCACCAAGTGCCCATTGGTGTATACAATATAGGTCTAGTCCTGTTTGCCCAATACACCTGAAGGCTCAGAAAAAGGTCCTTATATATGCATATGCAGATATCTATTTGTACACAATCAAGTTTTTTTAATTTGTGCTTGTGTGTGTATGTGTGTGGTCCAACCCCAGGAGTTTACAACCAGTGAACGCAAAGAACAATTCATCCCAAGTATTGTTGCCCAGCTTGTTTGGCATTTTTGTTTTCTAATGCATTTAACTTTCATTCCATATTTTTTAATGGTTTTTCAACTTTCACTGGGCATATGTTAAAAGTGAAATAACATTAGAATTGCAAATACATAATTTGGTTTTAAAACTATAAAACCTTGAATGCTGTTGTCTAATTTTATGTGGAGCAGCCAGCATGGATGACCTCTTTATACTGGGCTACTACCGGGGCTACAACAAGGAGGAGCGGATGGTGGTGGAGGCCAGCAGGTCTTACTGCAGGCACCAGTTGTTATTCAGCCCTGACGAGGGAATGGATGTCATTTTTGACATAGCGCAGAGACTGCAAGCTTTACCCCTGACCTTTGACATGATTGTGGTTCTCAAGTCACTGTGTATATTCTTCACAGGTGGGTGTTTCTTAATAGATGTGCCTATCTTCTGTTGCAGGTACCAGGAGCATTCAGGAAGTAATGCTCCACATTTCTGATCTCAGCGATTAGTGAAGATAGGAACATGACATTTATGATCTCAGCGATTAGTGAAGATAGGAACATGACATTTATGATGTCAGCGATTAGTGAAGATAGGAACATGACATTTTTTACTCACTTCCAGTTTGAAATAACTGCACTCCCCCCATCCTTTCCTCCGGGTATGGGTTCCATTCCCCTATTTGGGCTTTTGGTGGGGGGGGGGGGGGAATTGACCCACTGCTACCCTAACAAGTAAGTCTTTTTGTTCACTGGCTGAAAGTTCTGGTTGTTTGTCCACTCCTGGACTTTGGTCGTGATCCATAACTCGAGTTTTGCATGCAGATTCTTGTACAGATCTGGCTTATTTGTTTATTTGTATGCAGACCATTGGTTCCTTGCCTCATAGGTAGGGGCACTCCAGTTTTAAAGGAAACTAACTTTTAATTATTCGCCTCCTGTGACAAAATTGTTGGGGGAGGGTTGCAGCGGCTGTATTCTTTGTTCTCCAAAATAGAAAACCAGAGCCCACACAGTAAATTATGTCAGTGACTTTCATGCATTTTCCACAGTTTATGAGAAGGAAGAAAACGAAGGGGTGTTACTTTCTGAATGTCCCCTCCATCTTTTGTCTTTAAATTTATTTATTTCTGCATTTGTAGATATATGTGGTTGACAAAGAATTCTTACAGGCTGCAGAGTAAGTTTTAGCATATTGCATATTACGGACAATTTGTACATGCTAACTAATCTTTCCTGCCCACAGAGATGTGGTTTTATAGAAGAATGGTGAAAATATTCCAACGGCCAACAAAAACAAAAATATATAAAAAATTAGAAGTCTAAGTGTTTTGCATAAAGCAAAGGATGAAAAACATGTTTTCACAAACATAGTCATCACTTGTTTGCCACATTATGAAAAGTGAAAACTGAAATGTGATGTGACAACTAAAAAGATGTATAGGGGAAAAAAGATAAAGGTAGACAATGAATGAAGATTCTTGAAAGTGTTTTTTCCCCGTGCAAAGAAAGGTATCAGCACATTGTCCGATACATTCTGTTTGAGATCACAAGTTGTGGAAGATCATCTTAACTGACAACTCACTTAATGATGATGGTTTCTTTGATGATATCTTCTTGCTGAATGTTGAATTAAGAATCGACATCACAACACTCGGGACACTCCCATAAGTGCTCCGTCCCCATCTTCAGCAGCAAGCGCAGAGTTAAAATTCCGATGGTACTATTAACAGTCTGATTATATATACGTCTCGCCCCTCCCCTGTTTCTTGAGCGTCGGCCAGATCCCCTTGTAACTCCTCGCAGTGCCATTCTCCTCAGACCGTAATGATCTATCTGTTCCTCGGCACTGTTCACTCGCTCCCAAAGGGCCCTCACAACATCCAGCTTGTCATATATCAGTTCACCACCAAGGGGTGCAGAACCGGCCAGTCTATCCGCCTTCTCATTTCCCAACACACCGGCGTGACCTGGAGAAAATATCCAACGGATGCTCTGAAGTGATGCTTGCCACTCTGCACGGAGCATGCCTGTCTCTTGTTACAAACACTAGCCTCTGCGCATGGTTTCCATGTGCCCCACTGTGGGGAAATCCAGAATAGACTCACTGCCTCCCTAAGAGTCGACTAGGAGCGGCAAGGAACAACCACAAATAAGCCAGTAAAACGGATGAACAGGCAAATTTCAGACCCTGGCACAAAGCCAAAGTCCACATGGACAAACAGCCAGGACTTTCTGCCCAAGATTACAGGCAGTTAACATAGAAGAAGAAGAAGAAAACACTAGCAGACGTTGCAGCAGTTGTTACAACAGTTTAGGTCAGAGCTGTTTCTCCCAATCACTACAGAAATCAGAGAAATGTCTGGACTAGTATCAGTTATTATAAGATACAGAAAATGGCAGTGTCCTGAGAAGAAGTGGGCATAAAATCATCAGATATGCACTGAATTGGGAGACAAATGGATTGAGGAAACAAGGATGTCCAAGAGAAGCCCATAAAATGGATATGGAAGAGAGGCCAAAAGTGCTGGACCAAATTCCATCCATGATATCCAAATGATTGCACAGGACAGAACACAATGGGGAATGGACTGCAAGCATAACAAGATGATGATGATGATGTTTCTTAATGTTGCAGAATTCTCTTGTTTAACAACTCATACTTTCTCTCACTGCTGGTCTGAAAGGTCCTTGATGTTGAGTCCACATCAAATTGGATTTTTTGTTAAGAATTGACCTCGGCCCAGCCTGAAATGGGTGTGAGAAAGAGTTAGGGTTAAAGTCAAGAGGATCGACTTCATTGCACTGGATTTTTATCCTGTAGGGCTCAGTTTCTCTCTGCAGAACGGCTAGCCGCATGCCGAGAGCATCACACAGAGCACAAACTCCTTACTGGTGATGATCACCAGGGATCTCTCTAAAAATTGCACTTGTGAACTGAATGACACAGCTGGGTATGAGATAAAGTCCTGGGAAGTAAAGGTAGCCTGCATGATGTTGACCACATCGCCCACAGAGAGCCAGCTGGTCTACAGAACTACAAGTCTAGCATCATTAACTCTGTGAGTCCCATACGTTCATAGGTTCCTACCTAGAAGCCCAATTAACGTATCGTACACCAATTTTATGTCTCTCTTTACTACCTCTTGAGCTTGGGCCTGTGATGCTAAACCCCCTGGGACTCAAAGAGTTAACTGATGCACTGCTGCTAATAAAAAAAAGGTCCTCGACTGACATTACTGACTTTTCACTTCATCCCACAGATAGAGCAACTCTGGAAGACTCTCAAGCTATAGAACAGTTACAGGTGAAAGTTGTCCAGGCATTGCTACTGTTGCTGAAGAGACAGCTGCCGAGCCAGGAAAACCAGATGTTTGCTAGGATTGTGTCCATCCTGGCACTGACCAGAGAGCACACTGAATGCTGCCATAAGTTTATTCTGGCACACATGTTGTCTGGCAGTTACATTGAACGATTCCATAATGTCCCTATTATTATAGAGTTTTTGCACGCACACTTGAATCACTGAAAAACCATGGACACAAAATCTGGGATCTAGAGTTGCTAGGAATCTGAACAGAATGAAAGGAAATATAGATGTATAAACAAGCTAACATCTTACCTGTCCTTTCACTGAACTTTTTTAGTCATATTGAATGTTCTAGTTTTGTTTATTAGCTCGGGAAATATGAATGCAGATACAAGTGTACATTTTTAATACCTGTTCATTAGTCTAGTTTTTGGTTCTGGTTTTTGGTTTTAGCTCAAGAAAAGTCACCCACTGTTCTTGGCACTTAAATCACTGAGTAATAGGACGCTATAGACACGCATGAAAACAACACACGGCTTGAAGTTGATAGTTACAAAGAGAATGTATTTTAAGCTTACCAGTGATTGGAGACAAACAGAAATTTCATGACTTGCAGAAATTGCTTACTAAAAGGTTGTGTGTGGTCTACATTTCTGTGTTGATGTCTATAGTAGTATTTGAGTGGGATAAGTATGAACATGTGTGGATGGGATACATAGGAGTATGGAATGTTCCTGTGTGGGTTCTGGGGCTACATTGTAGGGGAAAACAAGAATAGACGCAATTCCTGCATAAAAGCATAGTAAGAGTCTACTAATTGGAAGCTTCCTTCGAAGTCAGAGTTCATCTGCCTGAGAGGCAAGGAACCAACAGTCTGCATGCAAAGGAGTCAGACCTGTAAAACGGATCTTCTTGGAACTGTCAGTTTCTGGAACCGGACTAGAGCCCAGAAGTATATAAACAACCAGACATTTCTGCCTCAGTTTACAGATGGTGAACTGGAAGAAGAAGATATGGCATGTGAATGAAGAACTTGGAGATGTGGTTTTTGAGATCCATGTTGCGTAAACTGTTGACAGCCAGTGAACTACAAATAACTGCCTGGAAATGGCTAATAAAATTAGAAAACTGTATACAACTGTCAGAAACAGACAATGAGTGTCCTTTGGTCATGGGATGAGAAGAGAGGCACTGAAGAACATCGTGGTGACTGGAAAGGTCAATTGGAGAAGAAGCAGAGGCAGACCAAGAGAGATGATGGCCTGAAGGGATGGCATAGAGGAATATCATCAGTGGAATTTATTCAAAAATACCAAGGACCCAGATCTGTGGAGAGAGAAGGGTCTTAACTGCAGGGCACATGTTGATGATAAGTGACAAACTGCCATAGCAATTGAATATCTTGTGCGCAAGCTGACATGTGTGTGTGTGAAGTACTTGTACTTTTGATTGTTAGCTTTAAAAATGGATGTTCAGTTCTTTTAAATATCACACTAAAGAGCCTTGTCACAACTTTGGCTACCTGGACATTGAGCTAGATCTAGGTTGTTTTTAGACCAGTCAGCACTCACTGCAAGATGTGGTCAGCATCATGCAGACTGCCTTTTCTTCCCATGACATTACTTGGTACCCTGTTTAGACTTGGTCGACCTGGGAACAAGGGTCAGTTAAAAAAAAAAAAATACAACTTGATGTTGATTTCCTCTTCTTCACGTTTACCAGCTAAAAACTCTGGCAGAAAGTTCTGGATGTTCATCCAACTCTGGACTTTAAAATTGTTCCAGAACCTGAGTGTTTCGTACACATCCTTATTACAGGTCTGACTGATTTGTATGCAGACTGTTGGTTTCCTGCCCCTCAGGCAGCTGCATTCCAACTTCGAAGGAAGTCCCCAATTAGTCGACTTCTTTGACATTCCTGTGGGGGAGGTATTGGGTCTGTTCTTGTTTCCCCCCACACTAGCAGATAAGCGTCAAGCCACTACACTACAGTGACTCTAGTTATTGAAAAGCTGCTTCTATAATTGTCCAGACTGTTTCCATGTTAATGTAGTGACATCTCGTGAATAATTTCATAATAAAAATAATGAAATGAACTAAGTTTTGTAGTCTTTAATTACATTTGTTCATCTTGTCCAAGTCACCATCTGGGTTCTGGATCTCCATTTTGGACAACAATAATTTGACTGATTTGATTTGATTTAAGAACCGACATCATAGCACTTGGGGCATTCCCATAAGGGCTCCGTCCCCAACTTCAGCAGCCAGCGAAGAGTTGCGATACTAATGGTGCCAGTAGCATTCTGATTAAACGTCTGTCTTGCCTTTCCTCTGAGCCTCAAGCATCTGCCAGAACCTCTCATCACTCCCCACTACATCAGTCTCACCAGACTGGTGATCCATCTGCTCCTCCGAACTGTACACGCTCTCCCACTAACCATGTCTACCTTATCATGTATCAGTATTCCACCAAATTGTGCAGAGCCAGCCTGTCTGTCGGCCTGTTCATTTTCCAACACACCGGCGTGACCGGTGAAAAAATCCAGACAACACTCCTCATCCGTGTCCTCCGCAGCGAAGCTTGCCACTCTGCACGAAGCATACCTGTTCTGATCTTCCTCAGGACAACAAAGAATAGACCACTGCCCCAACAAGCATGATGTATAAGGTGACTAACTAGGGGTGTTTCCTTTATAGTTGAAGTGCATCTGCCTGAGGAGCAAGGAACCAACAGTCTGCATACAAATAGGCTAGATCTGTAAAAAGAATATGCATGGAAAAAAATATTTTAGATCAAAGACCAAAGTCCAGGAAAGGATAAACAATTGGTACTTTCTGCTGGAGTTTACAGCCGGTGAAAAATAATAGAAGGGGGCTGCGTGGTCTCGGGGGATGGTGTCCTCCGTCTCAAGTGCTAGAGGTTCCTGGTTCAATCCCTGGTTTAGAGCTGGGATTTTTTCACATGGACTTGGACTTCTAGTAACTCCCTCTGGTCTCTGGGTAGTGAGATCGGATGCCCGTGTATTTTGTTGCATACGTAAAGTCCCTTGGCAGCTGGAAATTGAAAAGAGTAGCCTAACGGCACTACCCGGGCAAAAATTTTGAGTTAAAAAATCTACTTTAAGTATTTCAGGATCCTTGCCGGTACCACAGAGCTCAGACTTGAGTTAGAAGAAAAACAGAGCACCTATGGGTTACTACCTGTGTGCCACGATGTTGATCCATGGTTCAAACCTCAAACCAAATCAAATATTTGCAATGAAAACTAATAAGATTTTGTGAATAAGTTCTGTTATGTAATTGCATTGTTGTATTACTTCTGTCCTAAATGTAACTTCTTCTTGTCCTCCTTGTACCTATTGCTTCTACTTCTGTTTTTAAGTTGTTTGTTATTATGAGAGCAGAAGACCTGTAATATGTGACCACTGGAAATATTTATGGAAAGGGAGAAAGAGGAAGACAGTGTTAGAATAAAACTGGCAGCCACACATGTCGTAATTGTAACAGACTCTGAAGGTGTGCTGAGAAAGGTAAAGACAGGGATGCTTTGAGCAGAGTGGCAAGCTTCATTGGGAAGGTCACGGGTAGTGAGCATACTTTAGATTTTTTCTCCAGGCCATGCCGGCGTGGTGAGTAGTGAACAGGCGGACAGATTGGCTGACTCTGCGCCACTGGGTGGTGAATTGATACATGACAAGGCTAATGTGAATGTGGTCAAGGCCCTTTGGGAACAAGCAACAGAATCAGTAGAGAAACAAGATTATTATTGCCAGGAGAGAATGAGGCACCTGGGTGTAATCGGAGGAACTGGCCGGCTCACTACACTCAGAGGAAAGGCAAGACGGACATATAACCAGATTGTGACCGGTACCATCAGTACTGGAACTCTGCGCTGGCTGCCGAAGATAAGGATGGAGCACACATGGGATGTCCTGAGTGCTGTGATGTCAATTCTTGACTCAACTCAACTACTGGCAGCCCTTTTTATTACAAATACGAAAAGAAACCTGGCTTCAAGAGCAAAGTCTGCAGAGCAAGCTATGGGGAACCACGAGGAACCTGCCACTGACACAGGCTGTTGGAAATCACTAAAGAGAAGTATGGTTGACCACGCCAGTCAGCAAGGCACTTGATAGCAAACCTATCCATTTGCGGGACGTTGATTGTTTCACTTATAATAATTCAACCCTGAGCCAGACTTTTTAAAAAAAAATGACTTTGGCTCCCAGGTCGACCTAGCCTTGAGTGGGTACCGGGTGCAGTTCCGGGAAAGTAAAGGCCTCTGGCGTGATGCTGACCACATCACCCATCTTATGCTGATTGGTCTATAAAAAATATAGGTCTAGCCCTATATGCCTAAAGGCGTGGAAAAAGGTCCTTTACTTTACTTTACTTTTACTTACTTAATTCAACCATTGATTAACCCTGGAAGACCCCGACCATGTTTCAGGTGGAGAAAACATGTGAATTAGGTGACAAGGTTTAATATTAGGCCAATAGTCCATTCCAATCATAAATATTTTTTTTTTAAATATATGTGACCTTGACCTACTTTAATCAAATGTTCCACCTCTGACCCATTGGGTCATTATGGTAAAAGACCAATCAGCAGTTCAGATTTAAACAAGTATTAAACTATATCAGCTCATTTGCATAATACAACAGGGGTGCAAATATAAAGAAAAACATGGGGGGGGGGGGGGGGGGGGGGGGGGGCCTCAGCCGAACTGAAAGGACACAACATACTTCAGTGAAACATTGAAGAAATCTACCAATGTCTTGACTAAAACTCGTTTATGGAGACAAAATGGATGTGGGACGCGTCCAAGAGACGCACCTCAATGACCATCACAGATTTTGAGTCATGACCAGGAATCACACAAGGGAGAAGTTCTAACATATTTGAAACTTAGGATCAAGCAGCGAAGTACTTTTTACAAACTCTTTGTGGTGTATTGTGGGGATCAAGGAGCCTGTGTCTTATTTAAGTACACAGTAATAAAAACATAATCATTTGCTGGCCTGGCAAATACAAAACATATTTTTATGTGTAAAGTAACATGAGAGAGAGACAGTCTACATTCTTTGGTCATGGGATGAGAAGGAGAAAATAGGAGTACATTGTGACAGCAGGAAAGTTGGAGGGGAGGAGAGGCAGAGGAAGACAGAGAGAACAGATGCTGGACAGTTTAACATCATGGCATGGAGGATCATCTGTGT